ACACAAGCCACACGCACACGCACACACACACACACCACACGCACACACACACTCATCCACAGACACAAACACACAGACACACACAGACAGAAGCACACAGACCCACCCACCTGCACGCCCCCACGCACACATGCACACGCAACCACAGCAACAAACACAAACAACGCACACGCACACGCGCACAAGCAAGCCGGCCACCACGCAAGAGCAAGACGGCCCCACCAATAAAACTCCTGTAGTGCGCACACACACGCACGCACACGTTCACGCACACGCACGCGCACGCGCACGCACGCACGCACACACACACACACGCACACAAGCCACACGCACACGCACACACACACACACACCACACGCACACACACATCCACAGACACAAACACACAGACACACAGACAGAAGCACACAGACCCACCCACCTGCACGCCCCCACGCACACATGCACACGCAACCACAGCAACAAACACAAACAACGCACACGCACACGCGCACAAGCAAGCCGGCCACCACGCAAGAGCAAGACGGCCCCACCAATAAAACTCCTGTAGTGCGCACACACACGCACGCACACGCACACGTTCACGCACACGCAAGCGCACGCGCACGCACGCACGCACGCACACACACACACACACACACACGCACACAAGCACACAAACACACGCACACACACACACCACACGCACACACACACACACACATTTTACAGAGACAAACACACAGACACACACAGACAGAAGCACACAGACCCACCCACCTGCACACGCAACCACAGCAACAAACACAAACAACGCACACGCACACGCTCCTGTAGTGCGCACACACACACGCACGCACACGCACACGTTCACGCACACGCACGCGCACGCGCACGCGCACGCACGCACGCACGCACCCACGCACGCACGCACGCACGCACGCACCCACGCACACCCACCCACCCACCCACCCACCAACTCACCCACCCACCCACGCACCCACGCACCCACGCGCCCACGCACCCACGCACCCACGCACCCACACACGCAGAGCCCCAAACAAAGTAAAACACGCACACCCACCCACCCGCCCGCACGCCTGCCCGCCCGCCCCCACCCCTCACGCACCCACCCACCCACGCACCCACCCACTCACTCGCCCACGTGCAGGCGCGCGCGCACGCCTGCCCCGCCCGCCCGCAAGCTCGCGCGCACAACGCGCGCACGCACGCCCGCACGCCCGCGCTCGCGCCCACGCCGCACCACTCGCGCCGCATCACCCCACATTTTGTCACATCACACCACATCACATGACCTCACATCACACACACGCACACATCTCACACACACATCACACACATCACACACATCACACACATCACACACATCACACACATCACACACATCACACACATCACACACACACACATCACACACATCACACACACATATCACACACATCACACACATCACACACATCACACACATCACACACATCACACACACATCACATCACACACACACACACATCACACACACATCACACACACACATCCCACACATCCCACACTTATAACACACACACACACATCACACACATCACACACACACACCCACCCACCCACGCACGCACGCACGCACGCACGCACGCACGCACGCAAGGACGCATGCACGCACGCACGCACGCACACACATACACAATCCCCGTCCCCACGCACGCACGCACGCACACACATACACAATCCCCGTTTTCACGACCCCAGCACTCCCACCCACCCAGATATGCGCACGGGCGAAACTTATTTTGAAATTTAAGCGATCAGCTCACCCCACGCCCCCGCAACAACAATCAATCCAGCCCTCCAATGATGCTTTAAGGTCAGTGTGGATCTAGGGTGGGGGTGGGTTTGACGTTGGAATCAGGCTGGTTTAGTGTCGACCTGAACCAACATCGGCATTTTCAGCCCCGTTTGCGCAGGGGCGTTTGGTGTTGCACTCCGCATGTCTTCAATTGAGCAGGGTTCAAAACCTGGTTGTATTGCGATTGAAAGGGGGTGGTCATAAGGGTCCCACGCGTAAGGAAAACACGTGGCGGCGCAAGGCCGCGCAAGCTTTTTTTCGAGGAAAGTTTGTGGCGTAAGCGGTTTGGATTGTTTTGGTGGTTTTGCGTAGTCATTTGGCAGTGGCAGGGGTCTCAGACACCTTAAACTTGCTGCTGATGTGTTTTGGGGCAACTGGGGAAAACGCAAAAACGAATTAGTGCGCGCCGCTATTCGTTTTTGGTTTTGGGCTGGATTTTTTTTCCATGGTTTTTTTGGGGGTTCAGCTCCGCGCGGCGCAGCTGTGTGGCACAATTGGCAGGCGCATGCTTTTGGCCGGGGGGGTCCGGAAAGGTTTCCGGCTCGAAACCCCCCAGCTGGTGAAATGAGCCGCGGGCAAAAGGTGTGTGGACGGATGCGGGTGGGACGTGCGTGTGCGTGTGTGGCGAAAGCGGGCGTAAGGAAACCATGCAGTTTCGTAAGGAATGTTTTCGCCTGAGCTGCGCGCAAGGTTTGCGCAAGGGAAGCTTATGAAAATGCAAGCGCGTAAGAAAACTTGTATTGCGCGTAAGCTCGCCCAAGCACCTTAGCGTAAGAGTTCCTTACGACCTAGATTTGAACAAGACCTTTTGAACGCCGCTGAATTGGATCTGCCTCAAGGTCCCTCAGCTGCAGGGTGCTCAGCGTGGCTTATGTTGCACCTCCTTCCTGCTGTGTCCTTAGGCCGTCCAGCTGGGCTTCACCGGCACCTCTTTGCCAGGCTAGCGCTTGATTCATTGGGGGACTCAGTAATTTCATGCCCCACGACTTGCACGCTGATGCAAGCCATCGCGAAGGTTCCGCTGCAGAGCCCCTGGCCACGGGTGCAGGGGCTGCCCGTGCCATTCGGCCAAATGCGAGTGTATCGGATAGGCGTTGACATCGGGAAGGCCCAACAAATTGTTGTTTCACTCTTGGCTTCCCTTTAACCCCACCTGAAAAGGATACTGGTACCCTCAAAAAACACCCACTCACATATTTGTACAATTGTAATGTGCTACAACCGATGACGCTGTTGGCCGAGGGTGGCTGCGGTGCCGGCACCGGCAAATCGTGTGCGGTGCTGAGACTGCAGATGGAAAGTGGCGAAAAAAACAAGAAACAAATGCCAATGGCCGCAGGAGTCGTGCGAGACGATTCGTGAGATGATTGACAACATGATCAAGAGCAGCAGCGCAGATGAGCTTGCCCAGATGCTGCAGAACGCAGCGCCCAGACCTCAGATAGTAGGTTTGCAACAATGTGGCGCATGTTGTTCTCGAGAAGAAGGGGGTGCTTGTGGCACTTGCGACCAAGAGAAATTTGCGCGGATTCGCGGAACAACTCATTCCGGAACACCATCATGAAAGTTACTTGAGTTGGTGAGTGCGTTCACTACGAGGCCCGCGAACTATTCCGACTGAGGCTGGCAAGCCAAAGTCTGTCCTAAATTGCGGGGCGTGGGCGTACGCACAGGTCTATGAAAGAGCTGCCTTCTCAAGGCACAAGTTGACTAAGTTGACAATAGTCACCATTGATGGCAAGCTGTGAGCTGCAAATCGACGGCAGGAATTGCGCTGCCTTGCAAAGGCAGGTCCTGTGTGGATGGGCCGAGTGGCTCTCAGACTTTCTTGTAAGGCAGCGCGCTTGCGAACTCAAGCGAAATGCCTTTGGCTCAGCATCCAGCCTGTTGCAATGATGTACGAGTACGTACGCGAGTGCCAGTTCTTAGGACTTGCAACACAATCGCCAGATGCAATAGCACATTTGTCAGAATTTCTGTGGCAATAGTTCAAATTGAAAACCATATCATAGTAGAAGCAGCCATGATGAACCACGCAGAACCCAACATAGCTCAAAGCACAAACATACCCAAAAGATGCCCAGCAAAAGCAAGACAATGCCAGAACAGGGCAGGGTGTTAGCGACTCCTAGATTTTGAGAAGGTTTATTTGCTTCGTGCTTGAGCTTTCCAAGGCATGCTGTGCTTGCGCACCATCAGTAGCTGCACCAAGCTTAGTCCCTGAGGGCGCACCGACGGGGTAGCGCGAGGACGTTTTTTGCAGCTTGTCATCCTGAGGTGCTTGAATTGACTTGCTGAACTGAGCTGGTCTTTGGTTTCTGAACTGAGTGAGTGCTTGCGATGTGAGGACGTGTCGAATTTCCTGCCTTCTCCAGTCTTTATTGTTGGACTCAACAAGTGATGGCATTTGTTCTGCCTGCGTGGCTTGTTGCTCAGTCATTGCTGCTATGTTGTCAAACGCAGGGCACCGATGCAGGAAATTGCTTGTTCGAAGGACATGTCAAGACTCTAGACAACAGTCCGGATGGGCATCCAAAACGTGATTATGAATATGCCAAGAGCTATTTGAGGTTTTTGTTTTGGACCACAGCCAGCAGCGCTTCTTGGAGGCATCGAAATACATCCTACCTTCTTCGGATTGCTCAGTAGTAGTTTTGACGTGCACGGGCCTCCATCCAGAATCCAGGCGGAACGGAATGAACGGACATAGCAGACAATGCTTGTACGAAGAGATTGCTTGAGCTGCTTGTTTCTTTTCACGGATGCATCCGTCCGGCTGGAGGCCGAACAGTCGCCAATGGAGCGCTGTTTTCTAGTTTAGCACGGACAAATATGATGAATGAATGATTGTGTTTTCCCGGGCACCTGCTGAGTGAATTGCACAGTGACACACTCAATCATGCTTCAAGACCAAGCCAAATGAACAGTGCCCCAATTGCAAGGAGTGCCGGAGTCTTTCTCAGCCTGGCAGAGAAAGAAATTCGCGAGCATTGCGATAGCTTGCGGCTACATTGCTTGCATGCTTTTGAGCGTGTGCTTCTTTGACGGATTGCACTAGTGCGAGCCGTTCGTGAAGATCAAATGCATTGAAATGTCAAAATTCACAGCCCCACACGAGCCAATCTCCCAAAATGATCAGAGAGTACTCCGAATTTCCCTTTCCAGCTCCCCAGTCAAAAAGCGGGTCCGAAGGCCATGGATGCCTTCCTAGCGCCATCAGTGCCATCAGTGCCGTCAGTGCCGTCAGTGCCAAGTCTGGGACCTTCTCAAGGCGCGCGCGCTCAAAGTTCCCGGTTCCGAAGTGACAGGCTCGGCGCGGCCGTGGTGGCCACAGCCTCGGCCGTGCGCAGATCGAGAAGGGCCATTCGGCGAGCGCGCGTGACGGACTACTATGAGATCCTGGGAGTTAGCCGAAATGCCAACGAGCGAGAGATCAAGGCAAACTTTCGCAAGCTGGCTCGGCAGTATCACCCTGACGTCAATCAGGAGCCTGGGGCTCCAGAGAAGTTCCAGGAAATCGCCAAAGCCTACGAAGTCTTATCGGATGAGACGAAGAGACTCAAGTACAACCAATTTGGCGAGGGCGCAGTGCCCGTGGCAGGGCCAGATTTGTCCAGCATGGATTTGAAGGACATTCTAGGGGACGTGTTCAGTTCCTTCTTCAATGGAAATCCTCGCTCCAGACCTGGAGGTGGGAGGCGACCCCCCTCTGCGAAGGCCAAGAAAGGCTCAGACTTGCAATGCAAGGTGCAAGTTCCCTTTGAGGTCGCCTGCTTTGGAGGCTCTCAGTTGGTACAGCTTCGGCGTGAGGAGACTTGTGGAGTCTGTGGTGGGTGCGGGGTGGAGGCAACTAGCGCTCTTCAACACTGTCCGAAATGCAAGGGCACCGGTGTGACCGTGCAGGTCATGCAGACCCCACTCGGGGTCATGAAGACTCAGCTGGTTTGTCCAAAATGCCAAGGTTCTGGTTTGGACCCTTCCGCCACTTGTCGCAGCTGTACTGGGAAAGGCACCCAGACACAGGCTAAAGAGCTGTCAATAAAAATCCCCGCTGGCAGCAATGCTGGCAGTCAGCTGCGTTTGCGTGGGGAGGGAGACAGAGGAGTTCGAGGAGGGCCACCTGGGGATCTTTACGTCAAGCTGCGGATTTGCCCTTCCAGCCAGTTTGTGCGAGATGGCATTGACGTGTACAATGAGACAGTCATCAGCGTCTTCGATGCCATGCTTGGCACCTCGGTGGTGGTGAGCACGGTGGACGGCGATGCTCGCGTGGATGTGCCGGCTGGCACCCAGCCAGGCACTACCATGAGACTGCGCGGGAGGGGTGTGCCCAAACAGGGCGCAGACGGAGGGCGAGGACTCGTACTGAGAAATGTGTAAGGCAGCAAAGCGCCTCTCATACCCGGTAGACGTTGGCTGCGACAGGAGACCACTACGTTACTTTGAAGGTGGAGGTGCATCATGCAAATTGGCTTGCAGTCAGTATGCACAGTTGGAATGCTTTGTCAATTGCAGGTGCCGCTTCATCTTGACGACAAGCAGCGCAAACACGTTCTGCACTTGAAAGATGCTGCTTGGCTGGATGCCTTGCCGCCAGGGCACTAAGTTGCCTATTAGAGATGGCGCACTGCCGCAACCCCCTGCGCAGGGTTTCAACTGTTCGACCCTCCCATTATCAACCTAGGTCCATAATACAAGAAACCTGACCCAAGCAAGGCAACTGCATGCATGAAGCTAGGCCTAAAGGCTGAATTTGGCTACATCAGGCCACCTCCGGTTTGGCTGGCTTTGTCTAGCCGACCTCTGGCTACCGCTTTGATCGCCGCATTGCCTTGTCAACAATTATTTGGCTGCGAGTCAATTTATAAGGTCCGGAACAGGGTCCGGAACCCACATGCGATCCAGACCTCCGTTCCAGACCTCCGTTCCAGACCTTGCCTAGAAACATGTTCCAGACCTTCCGTTCCAGACCTTGTTTATGCATATTTATTTCTAGAGTATTGATTCAGATGGTCGTTCTTTGTCGGGTGTGCAAGTGCAATGGCCAAGGCTGAAATGGCGTGGAGCAAGAAAGAAGGAGCAAAGGAGCAAGAAAGAAGGAGAAAGACATGAGCAAAAGGCTAAACTCTCTCGTCATAAAATATGTCTTCGGCGATTTCGCGTTGCTTGTTTTGTATTTCCTCAGGAACGATATAGCGAAGCCCCAAAAACGATAACGTTGCATGACGTGCAACTGGCGCTTTGCGCTTCTATTTTGCACTGTGTGAGCCTTTTTTTGCCCCAAGCTGTAAGTTGCCATGACAGCTCCTGTCAATGCTCCTCGGCAATGCATGGTGGGCACATGTGTGCACGAGATGGGCCCACCCAGATGGATCGCTAACGCACCCGCGCACACGCACACGCACAGGCGCCCGCAGGCACCGGCGTACGCTGCGACATGCTGCGACCTTCGAGCTGGAGCTGCCAAAGAGTAACTTGCGTACTGCGCTGGTACTGAAAGTTTCGACTTGCGACCTGGAAGTTGCAGCCAGCAAGCAAAGCCGCCAATGCTTGGGAGCCAGAGAAGCATAGTTTAGTCCGCTGATCACATGACTACCGCAAGGTAGAGAAGGCTCTTGTGTGCTTGCTTGGCTCTAGCTTATAGCAACTTTGTTTTTTTCGTGACACTACACGCGCCCAGAACGAGACCCAAAACGACACCCCATCGATACTCCGAGAACGTCCCGGAGCAGCCAATGTGAGGCCTACCTAGTGCGTTTGCTTTTTCAACCACACGCGCAGCTCCTTCAGCACACATCCTTCCGCGCACACAAAGGGCCCACAACGGGCCAGGCCGCGGACGCCACATCTTAAGAGGCAAGCTATCCGGCTCAGATATCTGCTGCTGCAGGAGGATGGGAAGGCCTGACTTGCCCGAGCAGATCTGTGATCCGGAAGGCTTTGGAGAAGAGCCCGAGCTCCAAGAGTGCTGCCGCAGAAATTGCTCACTGCAGGGGGTTCGCCGGGCACTTTCCAAATCCGCACGGCGTCGCAGGGAGGGCGCTTTGACACGCGCAATCCTCGCAGAGGATTCATTGGGCGCTTTGCGCGCTCGCGAGACCCGAACAGAGGGTTCCCCGGCTTGCTATTTGGAGGTTGCTGGAAGGGCCAAACCATACCCAAAAGTAATTTTGGAGCGTCGAAAACACCTTTTCGGATCACTCGGGGAGTGTGAACTGCATTCTGGGCCACCGATTGCTCTCCTTCCTACTGCTCATGCTTCTTGCTTGCACCCGCAGGCGCCACAGGAGCGTCGAAAACACTTTTTCAGATCATTCGGGGAGTGTGAACTGCATTCTGGGCAACCGAAGTACTGCTTGCGCTCCTTCCTACTGCTCACGCTTCTTGCTTGCGCCCGCAGGCGCCACAGTCGGCATGCCAAACCATGCCCAAAAGTAATTTTAGAGCGTCGAAAACACCTTTTCAGATCATTCGGGGGGTGTGAACTGCATTCTGGGCCACCGGTTGCTCTCCTTCCTACTGCTCATGCTTCTTGCTTGCACCCGCAGGCGCCACAGTCGGCACGCCAAACCATACCCAAAAGTAATTTTGGTGAACTGCATTTTTGGCCACCGAAGTACTGCTTGCTCAAAACGATACCCAAAACGACACCGAAACCACACCCCTCGAATTGCAGCGTTCGCATGGCGCGGGGGGTGGCCCATTCGTTATGAAGCGTAGCTTGCGTTTGTTGGCACCTGCATTCCTTTATCCCTTTCCTCCCAGTTTCTCTTCCTCTGCTCTCTTCCTCCATTCTTTCTCTTTCACCCTTCCACCCTTCCTTGACATAAACACACCAGTGTCTGAAACATTGCAGAACGATATAGCGAAGCCCCAAAAACGATAACGTGTTGCTCGAAATCGCCCAAAGTAGTCTTAGGTTTTGCCTCTCGCTCACATGAAGAAAGGAGTATCGGTGTTCCGGAACTTTGCTTCGGTTCGGTGCGATACAATTCCGCTTTCGATACGATACGGTAACGGTTCGATACCGTTCTCGGTTGAAACGACCATGTTTACATGCGGCTTGCTAGCATTCCAAAGTGCAAGCCACTCGCGTAACCGTTCCAGACCCCGTTCCAAACCCGTTCCAGACTTGTTCCAGACGCAGCGGAGCAATTTGCCACCAAGTCCACATGCACACACATGCGCCATGTAAGTAGCTGCGCTTCTTACGTGGCCCACCACCCAACAAACCTTCAAGGACGACATGTGCCAGGGCTTTGGAGACAAAGAAGTCTTTGAAGGATACCCTGCATCGGCTTGCGCATCGGTGGACATTGGCTTACGCCTCCCAGCCTTGTGCATCGGCTGGCGCGCGTGGCGGGCGTGACTACAGCGCATCGGTGTCCCAATGGCGCGAGGGTGGCAACGATGGCGGCGCGCCCCTAGTCGCTTCATCCATCCGTCTACCCATCCATCCATTCATCCATCCATTCATCCATCCATCTATCCATCTTACACTAAATGAACGTGTGCTTGAGGACTCCACGCATGTCCTCCCAGAGGTCCGTAACTGACTCGTTCCAGACGTCCGCGTCACCGCGGAACGTTCCACACCAGAATATTGACCCACACCCATTTGTTATTTTTCGGCATGCTTGTTTGAATCCGCGCGGTTGCCTCCGAGCTTCGGTAAGATTTGACATTTGCTATCATTTGCTGCCGCCGACGTGCGCAGTTGCCAATGCGGCAATGTGGCTTGAAACCAGGTTTGCTCATTGCCTGGCGCCTCAGGTTCTTCTTGAGAGCAGCACGGTCGCGTGACTTGGGTACAAATACACGGCACGCGTTTGACTATCCTAGCCTATCCTTATACAAGCTGAACCTACGCCCACTAGCACGTAGCTTGACATCTTTTTCGCGCGCCTAGGAAGCAAAGTGAGTGAAGTGAGGCTCATAGCTGCGCAGCTGAAGCCGCACAATCCTTTCATTTGAAAGCGTATGGCGACAACTCTGAATTGCAATTGCGCAGAGTTCGGAATGCAAAAAGCAGTCCCGCCAAGCTACACGGATTCGTCGGCAGTGCCTCACCAGTTGCCTCATGCTGTCATCCGTGCCTCTCTGGCCATTTAGGCTCAGGGTTGAGCCCAGTTACCAAGGACTCGAGCATGGGTTGAGCGCGGGAGACTGACAATGGGAGCAGCTTTCGGCAGTGGCTGCTGCAACAGCGCATCGGACGGGCGAATCACAGAGCCTCAGGGTGACGTGCCAGCCATGCTTTTGGCAGGAGTCCGGAGAGGTCAAGGTGCCGTCTCGGTGGCATTCTTATTTGTTGCATCCTGTTGCATGTTTTTTGGGTGCTGTGATTGGGCAAACGCTGTAAGGCATGAAGGTGCTGTGGGCCAGCTCCTTCCCAGCAAGACTTGCTGATCACGGATGCCATAGGGTTTTCTGTTGAACACGAAAGCCAAGGATGGTGTTGGCAGATGCCAACGGCTCAGCTTAAAGCCTTGCGGCCTCGGAGTACTTCTGAAAGCTTAGGACAAAGAACCCCTCCCAAAGTCTTCATCAAGAAGGCGTGCAAAGACTCACACCATGCTCGGTGGCCTGCGGTCAAAGGCGCAGACCTTTCACAACGCTTGCCTGCATCAACTCCTGAAGTGAGGTTCCAACAGACTGCACTGACGATCTTCCAATTTGTCCTCTGCATGGAGTTTCACTCACTTTCATGCAGGCCTGCTTTGCGCGCTTCGAAGGCATCTTGTGGCTTTTGGCGCAATTTCAAATAGATACCAGAACCAATTCGCAATCAGATCAGATGTAACCCGCGTGAAAACATGTTGAACGTTGAGCCCGCCCTCCAACCTCAACCCTAATTCAGTCCTAACCCCCCCGACCTGTATTCCAAACTGAGCCAGAACTCGCCAAAGCCCACCCCATTCACCCCAAACCTGCCAAATCAGTTCAAAGTCTAACTTGAACTCACCTTGGGCCCTTCAACTTCGCATAGGCCAACAGCAGCTTATGCTGCGGACTACTGCCAGCTTGCCCTAGACTAGCACAACTGCAGGCTGAAATTAATTTCCTGGAGGTCAAGACAGGCAGGCCACAGGCAAAACCCACTTTAGCGTTGGCCAAACAAAGCTTCCCGTGGGGCTAAAACAAGCTTCCGCGGATCGGAACAAGCTTGCGTAGGCCACGGTTCGCTTCGCATTGTGGCACCAGCGCAGGCCTGCCAAATCTGAGGAAAACTCCGGCCAAACCTACTAGTAGCGACAAAACGTAGCAACACTGGGCCTCCGACCTATGTGTTCATATAGTGTAGGGTCGTTAGACGGTTCACTGAAGTCTTGATCCTCGGCCCTTGGCTGACAAGCTTTTCGGTGCGATTTGAGTGAGGAGTTTGGTGTCATCAACAAGAAGCTGGCACGGGCCTTGGACCAGCCGACGTGAGCCGACTTGCATTTGCCAAAGATAGACATTGCTACCGTTTGAGGTTGATGCCAAGGACTATTCCATTGGTTACTCGTCTGCAGACTTCCTCTTAAAAATTGATCCAGATGTCTCTCCTTGCAGGCGGTTTATGTTACAAGATCATTAAGCCCAGTACCATGTTCAAGGCAGGCAAGCGCCTTGGCTGCGCCTTCTATGGTGACGTGGGGTAAGTGGGATGGTGCAAGGTGATTCGGCTTCGCGCCGCAATTCGTAACTAGGGTGACTTTCGACACGCCGCGCAAGTAGTCTTCCAGTTACCGGTGTTGACTTGATTCACAAAGGCCATGCACAACGACGGAAGAGGCGGACGCACTCATGTCCTATGCAGAGGCTGGGCAGTGGAAAGGGCAGAAGGCCTGTTGTTGTCCGTTGTCTTGGTAACAGGATCTTGGGAGAGGTTGCCAGCACGCACGTTTACGCAACAAGTTGCCTCGAACGACTTGGGGTGGTCACACAGATGGCCCTTTTTGGACCTTTTTGCCGCCTTGGGCCACCCTTTGAATGGAATGCGCACACGGGCCCGTATTTTGACAACCCCCCCTCTCCAACTTGAGCCATTTTCGGAGGTTGGCTTCCGGGATAACATCGCCGATCTCAAGAAGCGGCCAGCTTTCGAGTCCATGGTTGCTTGGCAGAGTTTTTGTACCCCTTGCCGGTATGTCTCTGTGCGTGTTTTAAAAGGGTGCCTTTTCTTGGTGCTTTTTAAAAGGAGAAAGTTACAGGACCCCGACCACTTAAAGGAGTTCCTCTCTCTATTTCAACACGCACGTCATTGCTTGAGTGCAACCTTGAGTGCTTGTCCGCGCCTGGTGCCTGAGGCCATGCATTTTGTGTCCCATGCGTGGAGGCAGGGGTTTTGCCTGGAAGGACCTGGTTACCTGTGCTTTGGCCTGCGAAACTTCAGGTACGACTTTGCCACCTTTTTGGAAGCTCTTGCCAACTGGGACGAGCAGAAAGGCTCTAACGCAGTTGTGGAAATCATACTCTGTGTGTGTTTGCTGCCCGGGTTTCATTTGCATCCCGTTGTGGGAAGAGGAACAGATCAGTTCACGTACTTCTGGGTGGATGCATTTGCTGGCCTCTCAAAGTGCCTGTTTGTTGGTCAGCATGCAGACAAGTGATTGGCTTTTTCTCAGGTGGTCAATCAGCACATTGCCGATTCCTATCCGATGGAGTGGTGGTCCACCCGCTTCGCACAAGCTGTTGGTGACCTGGATGAAGCAGCTGTTGCAATTCCGGCTCTTTGCAGTGCAGCTGCATGCCGGTCCACTGGAAAGCAGCCTGAACAGGGGCAGCAGTAAATTTAACCGTTCGAATTCGTGGTAGACATCACATGGAGAATCCTGTCACGAGTAGTTGGCTGCTCCTGTAATGCCCGTGATGTTTCTTGCCCGTGCAAGGCGATGTGGGAAGCACGATTCTAGTCTCGCTGCCGTGGGAGGACTTCCATGCAATCAGCACGTGCGATGCACATTCGATGAGTTCCCAATCGACAGGATCCCATTCCTCTGAAGCGCGTGTGGGTAATTTGGGAGATCTTCTGCACGAACCAAATGGGTGCTCGATTTGATATTGCGATGCGTGTTGCCCAGGAAGCAAACCGTTTGGAAGCCAGCGGTTTGCTGTGAGTCAAGTCCTTGAGGCCGAAGCAGACGATGGATGACTTCAGGAAGGCTCGCTGACGTCAAAGAAGATGAGGCTGTTTTTGCCTCAGACTTGCCGAGGCATTAATCAGCTCCTTCAACAAGGTGCAGACCGCGCTTAGTGGAGTCGATGTTGGGCTCAGCACCGCGTATCATGTGAGCCATCAGGACTGGCGACGTGAGATGGCGTTGATTTCTGCATGCGGTGGTCAGCTGGAAATCCTTGCAGGAAATGGTCCATGACGAGATCAAGCGCACCATAGGTTTCTTGTTTTTTAGCCCGTGCTCTGTGAAGCGGTGTGCTGGCAGCCGTTCCATGCTACATCGGCATCCTTTGTGTGCTGCAAGGTTTCACGAAGCTCAATGAGATGGTGCAGCTCCGCATGAACCGATGGCTGATCGGAGCTGCTACCAAAGAGCCGCGGTCTCAGCGTGCAGGGTAGTCTCACTCACCTGTCCGAATCGTGCCAGGCTCCAGTCCATGAAGACAAAGGGGGCAAAGCGGCAAGACAGAATTGGATTGCAGGACTTGACGTGCCACCGTTTCTTGGTACTTCACTGGTAGCAAGAAGCAACCACTTTCAGCTTTCTCTGGCGGAGTTGGTTGCTGGTTGCATGTATTGGGCACACCTGCTGGGTCCAAAACGTACACACACACACTCACTTGATGAGAGGACAATTTGGCCCGCATGCTGCGCGAGAGCGGTAATTTTGCTGGAGCCGAGTTCTACTTCAAGGCCGCCTGCCCAAACTGGTTGGATGTATGGCCATGGCCCATGGATGTCAATGGTCCCATGCGAGCCGCATGATTTGCCGCTTGCAGATAGAGTGCCAGGAACTCCTGCAAGAAATCGAGACGGCTTATGGGAAAGATCATGCCGCTTTCCTGCACACGGCCCATGCTGCGTCATCTTATCAAGCCTCTTGTCGGATACCCCAGGGTTGCAGTGAGGTCCTCGCGCTGAGCTGTCTGAACCAACTCGCTGCGAGCGGCCTAATTAGCAAGCCTGAAGAGCAGTCAGAGAGCGAGCTGCCAGAGAGGTCACGCTGCAAAAAGCCCACAACGTGGATGAGGTGTGGACGAAGTGGACACGTGTGAAGTCTGCGAAGCGCCCGGATTTCTTGTGAGGCTTTGAAGCGGCACCGCGACTGCCTGCAGCGACGCCAGCGCATCCTGGGGGAGAACCATGAGGACCTGGCACCCCATGCCCAGAATGAGTGTCAAAGGCTCCGTTGACGTGACTAGAGAAGGCCTGGAAAAACCTGGTGACAAATCGGAAGACAATTTGGCAACCGTCTTCCGGACTGCATTTGATTTGAACAAAAAAACATGACCCCTTGGAAAGCCAGGGGATGCCGCGGCAAAAAAAAATACAAATGGCTCACATGCTAAATCCCGAGCCATTTCAGCAACGTGATGCGCCAACAAACATATTTTTATGGCTGGAAGGAACCGGCATAGTCTCCGCAAATCAGCTCTTGAAGACCCCGTCACAGCCAACTGCCGGGAAATCAGGAGAACTGCAGGACAAATGAAGGACACCAAGCTGAGAGAAGTGTCTTGCTTAAGTTTTCAGGCGGCTGCCCGCAGGCCGCAAAACGATGGTCACATCAACAAGAAACAACTTCTAGTAACAGGAACGCCCTGCTTCCCGCCACTCCTGGGCCTCTGGAGCCGCTACAGTGAGGTGGTGTTCCGACTTCAGGGGCCACGTCATGCGTTGAGTAAAATCCAAGCTCATTTTGCCGCATCAGCGCTCACTCCTGGTCGCAATTCCCAGGAGACCCTGCAGAGCGTCTCCAACCTGGCAGTCCTTTTGAGCTTGCAGAGGCGTGTCATTGCCGGCAACGGCAAGAAGTGCGCTGCTTGACCCAGGCCGCTGACCGTGGAGATCTTCGAGGAAGCGCGCAAGCTGTACAGCTGCCTGACTGGTAATGGTGTCACATGGTGTCATATGGTGTCGCATGGTGTCACACGGTGGCACAGTGAAACATGGGAATGAAGAAATTGCATGGCCCTTCGGAAGCAAGGCTTGGCAGTGAAGGGGCGCGAGACAACCATCGGCGCAAAGGATCCCAGAACCTTGTACACGTACGGCTCTCGATTTTGCAAGCCTAGACGTGGCTTGAAATTGGTTGCCTGCACATCAGCCGGAAGATAGGCTTGCCATGCCTAGGATGAGCAACATGGCCCGCTTCTTGTCGGAGGCATCTGACATTGGCCAGGGTGCACTGCACAAGTGGTTTCGTAGCCACGCATGCGGCTTGTTGCTGCGGCCAACCAAGTCGATCGCGTATTGGCTTTGCCAGGCACCACAGCCGACCAAGGAACTTCTTGAGGAGTCTGATCAGCTTCACTCACGAGCTGTGGGGTCATTGACGGAGTTGCTGCAGCAGGTGCGACGCGCTTTTTCCTGCACATGCTTGTTGTGCTGCCAGCACGTGTGCCCAAATGGGGTGCCACACCATTGCTTGGCAGGGCCATCCTTTGACGCTGGCATCGATGCACAACCAGGCATGCTCCTGGCTGGATCAATGCCAATTCGAGGAGGGCAGCTGGTCAGGACTTGGTGGATGGCGGTCAAGGGTTCGAGATGGGTTCAAGGTTGCCAATCCGTGCGGAGTCAGAATCGGCCAGGTGTTTCCATTGACGGCTGGCAGACGTGTTTTTTGTATTGTTTTTGTTTTGCATATTTTCCTAGATTTCTTTCTGTACCCTGAAGGACCTCTTGTAGATGAAGCTGTCGATCAGTCGCTTGGCAATGCCTTGCGAAGGGCGAAGGAGTTGCCATGAGAAGGGAGGGCCATGCATGAAGGGTAGGCACTCTGTGTGCTCCTACAGGCTACGCCTCGTGCACAAGCTTCGGATAGAGAAGCCGCTTGCCTTCTGCTCGCTGTTGGATTTTCTTTGGTGCATGCCCTGGATTCCATCCACAGAGTAGCTACGAGGCTTGGAAAAGAGCACCCGGACACAGTGCAGACTGAGAAGAAGTTGCAGGAAATCAACCGGATGAAGAAGCAGCCTCTTGATGGCCGAAGGAGTGCGATTTGCTTTCCATGGTGCTTTCCTCCCTTTTTCTTGTCTTGCCTTTTCGGCTCACCAGAAAGTGGCTTTTGTGGGTCCCCCGCCTGCAAGAGAACAACATATCATCGGGAAACGAGTCGCTGCATACGGCAACTGTGTTTTGCAGTTGCTCGCAAGCCGTGCTCTGCTTAGGCTTGAGAATCAAGATGCTGGAGCTGCCGGGAAAAAGATAGAGTCCTTTGCCACGTTCCAGGACTCTGGGTCCCACTGAGCTCCAAATGAATCAAGTTGGACCGTGCTGTGACAGGATCTGTTCAACGCACACTTTGACGAAGTGAGAACTGTGGAGCAGTTTAAGCAGGCCGCAAAGTAGCAAAGCGTACTGTCACTTTGCGTTTACAGGCAAAGGGGCTGAGGCCAGCCCAGTCTAACGTATCACGGCGCATCAAAAACTCATGAGCCATGCTCCATGCCCAATGTTCAGTTGCGCGCATGCCAGCAGTCCGTGCAGGTGCGTGCGCAAATGATTGAAGGGACAGCAGCAGATTTGGTCGCCAGCTTAGATGGTTTTGAACGTGCATCAGCAAGAATCAAATCGGAAGGGAAAGCTTCAAGAGGGCATCAAACTCTTTGAGCGCACAGGTCTTTGATGACCTTCTGTCAGCTGGTTTCATTGACTCCGACGGGTACATGACAACAGGCCAGCTTGCTGCTTTTTTTTGGAGAATTTATGGCTTGTGCGGATCACTCCAGGCATGCAGCCGTACAACTTCTTGGCCCACATTGCAACAAACAACCTGGTTCAGTGCGATGCTAAGTATGTTCACGCGCGGTAGGTCGTTTGCCTTGGGCCCGGCAACTTATAGGGCCAAGGCGCTGTGACCGGCCAAGGAGAAAATGCGAAGTTGAACAGTCGTACTTGGGCTTGCACCGACGCATGGCTGCAAGGTGCATCTGTGCTTTCAATGAAATCCAGCTTTTTGGAGGAGAGCACTTCGTGCTGGCGCATAACAAGCCAGAATGCGAAGACATGCAGCTTGTCCGGAGAGATGGCTGAGAGAGAGAGAGAGTGTGCATTTTGCGGCAGAACTGTGTGCCCAACGTATGCAATGCATTTGTGGGTGCCTGCGCCATTCACCCATTCAACTGTAATTAGCATTTTTTGGCCTATCGTTTGTGCTTCACAGGTGGTCCAGCTCTGATCCAAGCTGGATCGGCAAGGCAAGCATGCCGCTTGGATGCAGCAGACGTCCACATGTTGAGCAGATGCTTGTTGGCGCTTGATGATCTGATGTCCGGATGTCAGGTCGAAGAACCACCGCTTTCTTGCTTTCAGAAATTTGCGCTGGGCCACTTGGCAAGACCAAAGTAGAGCATCACAGCCCATGTGCTGCCACTAACTATGGGCTTCCAGGAATTCTTCAACGTGATTTCCGTCGGCTTGGAGAGTGGATCCGAGCATGGTCTAGCATCACTTCAGGCAGGCTGAGCCAGTTGTTTCTTCGCAGCATTGTCCTGAAAGGCTATGAAGGACGCCGCGTTGCAATTTGAAGCCTGCCTGAACTTTGACACACTGGAATCAGTGCTTTGCATGTCACCACGCGAGGGCGTAGTTGCCCCAGTGCAGATCGTGCAATTGCCAAGGTCACAAATGCGCCTGGCTGGTCACCACCGGAGAACATTGGGTTGTATTTGGCCGTTGCTTGGCTAGTATGAGTCATAAGCCAGCCTGACCTGACTGCTATCTGGATGCAGGGACCCTTCAAGCCACCCTCAACGACCCCATCAAGCGATTAAAGCAGAACAATCCTGTCTTCGTAGGCTCAAACAAGGCAAAACAAAGCCAAACAAGGCCCGCACGATTCGGGCTTTTTGGGATTGCGGGCATGCTGATTTGGGACTGCAAGGCATGGCCCTTGACCGCAGTCCCATGCTTGTGCCTTTGCCGCAAAGAGCGTGCCAGCATTGGGCAATTGTTGTGTGCCCGCTGCCGGGGCGGCCTTTGAACTTAGGCATCTCCACATAGTGGATCTTGCCCACACAGGGCCCTCTTTTGAGAGGCACCGGACTCTGCACCCAGCATGCAGTGAAGTCGTACGGCGGCAAGGTTCACTGGTGCCCTTTTGTGGCCAAATCAGTCTTGAACTTGTTTCTACATGCTTCAAATGACGGCGACGCGTCCACACTGCATCCGCTGCTGATGGCAGGCTTTGCCAAAAGATGTTGCCCCTCGACAATGCCATTCAGGTGCTGAGGGACGAAGTTACCCAAGGACCGGCGGGACAAGATGGCTCGGTTTCATGTGACGCTGGCCCAGGAATTGGTCCAATAGACAGCTGCTTGGCTCACAACATGTAGTGCTCATATCTCAGACTGAATACGTTGGGACTCAGATTGAGCGCAGGTGTATGCCTCAAGTCTTCTTACCCAACGCGATGAAGGCAGAGGCGTTGGAAGTTGCACGCTTTGTCGCATGGCCGGAAGTCGAGCTGTCACCCTTGAGGACCTGTGAGCACCAATATTTCTATTTAATACGTGCCGTTTAGTTTCACGGCCTGCATGCAGGCTGGAGCACAGGCGACGCAAATGCGACGCCCAATGCAAGCAACAGAAACATGCCAACCACAATCATCCGCAATTTTACCTGCCGCTACTTGCTTGGCAAGCACTTCTTTTTGCGTAAAATTGGATGGCATTCTAATGCCCCTCTGCCCTAGGCAAAGGAGCTGCTAAGACGAATCCAGATAGCCGTTGGATGGGATGTATTTCAGCTTCGGCGCCTCACTGAGAAAGTGATGGACGCCCTTTCACTGGCTTCCTGCTACCAAAGTAGGACGGCCTGACTTTCTTCGCTTCCGATACCCATAGCTGCGGCACGCAAAAATGGCTGTGTTTTTGAGGGGATACAATTTTTGGATTTGGTTACAAGGGAAACGAAAAGGGAAAGCCACTATTTTGGGGGTCCCCCTAGTTCGACACATATCCACACGTGATAGCTTTGCGGACGCAAGGTGGCCGTCCACTGGTCCACACCTTCTTCCCACCGTAGCCGTTTATCTCTTAAGCTTGTCGGCCACCCAAGGTCAAATTTGTTTCCTTGTCGACTGTTTGACAGAGTGCAAGCAGAACATATGCGAAGAGCAACAGAACGGCTGTTCTCACAGACAGAAACAGACAGGCAACTAGACAGGCCAACAGGTTAAAGGGCGCTCGGGCTCACTAGGGTGGCGGGTGCCCCTAGAACATCACAATGCCGAAGCAAGAGGCGCAAGTTTGGTGCCTCATGCCGTTGCGAGCAGGCTTTGATCTTCCCATTGGCAGGTCGGCTCCACAAAATGGCTTGGCAGCAAACTGAGAGATGGTGCGTTCTGCATATTCTGCATGGAACACCGTGTTCAGTGACCATCATGTTCAGCGATTTTGCGTGCTGAAGGCAACAAGATGAAGGCCAAAGGGCTGCAAAAGCGGCCTTTTCGCACTGAGTGAAATATGTGTTTTTCCTGGAGAGGTTCAAACGATCGGCCGAGGCTGCGATGGTACTGCCAGATGTGTCAGAAACAATGCCGAGATGAGAATGGTTTCAAATGCCACCGCATGTCAGCAGCCTTCTGAGTTGCCAGCAGTTCCCCTCACATTTTGTATGTTGATGTTGCTCCACTTAGGATGGACACCAGCGGCAGATGCAACTCTTTGTTCAAGACCCCAATCGCTTTATGGACGAGTTTTCCCAGGCTCACCGGCTCATGCCCCTTTTGTTTAGACGTAGTCAATATGCGAAGGAGTTCGAGAGGGGCTTCATGCAGCTGATGAGTCACACCTACAGATCACAAAGAGCCTCGCACCTGGAGTCTTCAAGTCAAGTGTAGGCATCTCCGGCATGTTCGCAATTCCAACATGCCTAAGGTCTTGGCCAACACGGTTTACTGCCAGGATCTTGAATATGCCTGGTATACGTTGTTTCCCAACCCCTCGTTCTTGCGATTCATAGCCTTTGTCCCTCGTCTGCGCACTGCACTTTCCTGCAGCGCTGGCTTAAACAGTCATGTAACGCAAAACAAATATGGATGCATCTGAGCGGCATTCATTTGCGCTATGTCTGCAGTTGCTTCTGTGTGCATGCCTTGAGTGAGCTCTTTTACCCAAGGCATTGAGGCATCGGTTGGAACCGAGCAGCTATGTGAAGTTGATGGGCGCTGCAGAAAGGTTCTGTGTGGCTCCACTGGCGTGCCCTGACAAGTATCTCAAGTTTGGACCAGATTTGGTTGGAACTTGTGGTGTCACGACGCGAAAGGAATTTCGATGGGTGAATGGCCGGGCATTATTCATCATAGAACATATAGAACCATTGGAACCAGTGCGACTTTGGAGGGAGCGACGAGACCCGTTCACCCCGGAACAATATTTCCTGGGCCCTTCCCTGAAACCGGTATGACTTTGGGCAAGGGATTCCCGCAAAAGAGACGCAGGACAAACGAGGCCCAACCCGCCAGAATTTCTTCACACCCCAAAATGCCAGATGATGGTCAACCGGGGAGGGGGGGAGGGCGGCTTGCCGCACTTGGAAGAGGGACAACGGTGCACGAATGCAAATTGTGCGTGTTTGCAAGCGTTTTTCTGCGAAACACCTGCTTTGCGCTTCATCGATTTGCACCCTGGGGGCGGGGTTGGGGGGGCGGGGGACTATTTTGCTTTGGTCGCATGGTGGTCAAGACTCGCACGATTTCCCTTACACTGCCATCGCGCAAGTTTGGTACTCGCAAGAGACGGTCGTTCACGTACGTAGCAAGAGGGGCGTGAGTAAAGGTGAAGGGTCATTCCAGACTCAAAATTGCCCCTACACTCGACTAGCATTGGTAGATTCTGGCTGCACTTTTCTCCATTTTCTTATCCAGCAAGTTTGCGATTAACACGGGCATGTGTCAGAATAGGCGGATTTAACAAGCTAGGGTTTCCTTTTGATTCCCTTGAGCCAACCTTTAACCCAAACCGAAAAGGGTGCCCAAAAAACAAGCCCCCAAACACCACCACATGTTGACAATCTTAGATGCCAGGAAGTTCTGGACATGCCCGCCGAGAAGGGTCACTTTGCTCAAATTATAACGGGTTGCCTGCTTTGTTTTAGCATGAAGGTGAACACGGCCTTGTTGGGAATGCAGCTGTGCTTTTTGTTGAGGCGCACAGGTCACAAACCCAGCTAGATCCAGCCAAAGACTGTTGAGGTGCGATGGGACGATCAGCTATCAGCTTATCCCATGCCGTCTCCACAAGATACTGCTGTGGTGTTTGCAGGCACCTAGACTTTGGTTGCATTGCGCTTGCAGTCACTTTCGCCCTTGTGGTAGGTTCTTTCAATCCACCGCACTACGGCCATATGGAGGTCATCCGCTATTTGTCTAGGGCTTTCAAGCAGGTGTGGCTTGTCACGTTTAGGGGTTGACAATTGACAATTGATGATCTCGCGGACGTGCTGTGGCAGAGTGGCATATCTTCACTATGGGGCTTTGTGCTTTCGCGTGTCAAGGCATGTGGTCATTGGAATGAATCCAGCTAAGAGCCTTGACTGCAGCACTGCTGCCTTTGGTTAGCAGCATTTGGTTGTGCATGAATGGAGGACAGGTGAGGACGCACGCTGCTCTGCCAGGATAAATCCTGTCCTAGCTGAGGACATACCCAGTCAGCGCGCGTCTCGGAAGAATCAAAGCAAGCCATTGCGCACCAAACTTCGGCTGGCTTGGATGTCACAGCAATTCGTGAGGCCCGCAGACGCGCAAGCTGATCATTGAGGAAGCGCTCCCATCTCTCGGGGTCAGCAATGCCACTGCCACCTGTCTGCCAAGACCCGCTGAGAGAATCACACTCTTGATGCATGTATCTTCCATGTTGCTGGTGCAGAGGCTATGGACGTGGGGCAAGGAAACAGCTGAGACATTGAAGAATAATTGAGCAAAGCAATAGGTGCCGTATTACTCCAAGGTGTGGGTATGGGGCGACGTGCCTTGGCGAGCATGAAGTCCATGATGTGTGTGAGCGATTGGTATACCCCTTTGCTGAAAACATGCCAGGTCATTTTCAAGCTGGCCAGACAAGTTGGCGCTACTGCGCTGCACTCTGACGGGCACACTGTGGGTCTTTTTTTTTTTCTCTCTCTTTTTTTTTGGGGGGGGGGCTTGGAAGACAGCCAGAGAGTGCAGGGGGCAGCAGCTGTCTTGCATCTTGCTGTTTTCACGCTGCTTTGCTTTGCTTTCCCCTGTTTTGCTTTCACGTCTGCCCTTTTGCCTGGCTTTGCTTGCGGCTTGGTGGTTGGCGGGCTGGCTGGCTGGCTGCTGCCTGCTACTGCCAGCAGCTTGACTTCGCTTAGGGCTGAGCGGCTGGCATATTGTTTGTCATCAGGCTTCGTATTTACATTAGGATAGGTGTCTATAAGGGAGGTAATTAGCATTGGAGAAATGCACTAGAAGATGGGGCTCCAATGTTCCATCAAGATGCAAACTTCAAACGAAAGCGCAAAGCTTTGTAGCATTTCCCACCTTGCATTGCAGTCGCCCGCAAGGGGGGTGCCGCTAGGTATCGAGGAATTCGATCCTGGCAGGAAGATGGCAAGGCAGAGCGATATTTGGAGGCGCACTGGCTGAAGTTGAGCGCGTTTCCCAGGGCGTTGGCATAGGCATCAAGCCACCTTCTGTGGGAGCGTTCCTTCAAGACGATGGGAGCAGGCAACTTTCCAAGATGTGGCATCACCCCAGGGCCGCGACCGCTACTTCGTACAAAGTCTTTATCAATATCACTGCCATCACCACTACCACCACTCTTCGGGCCACTGCCGCTACTGCAACTACTGTGGCTACGGCGTGTGATTCTATTACCGCTGCTGCTGTTATTACGGTTGTTTCCAGCTCTTACTGCTCACGCTATTGATTGGACTTTTTGCCGTTGCTACACGCTGCTGCTATTGTTTCTCGTCATTTGCTGCCACCTTGGCAGCCAGCTTTGTTGCTTGCACGGCACGTGCTTGGCACAAGCCTCGCCAATGGCAACGTGCTGCCTTCGCTCCCTGTGTCAAACTGGATTCAAGGCAGCCCTTCCCTAGACCCATCGCCGTTGCTTGTTTCAGAACCGCACCTACAGACTAGTCTTCCCCAGATATCATCCGCAGTTGTTGAATACCAGTAGGGCCGGCGAAGCCGGTGGGCGGAAGTTTCAATCATAGACCAACTATGTGTTCTCTTTCTTTGCCCTTTCTTCTTTTCTCCTTGCTGTTTGTCATCGTGCTTTGTTCCTTTGATTCTTTTATTATTCATCTGTTCTTTGGGATCCGGTGTCTCTTTTTTTCTCCTAGGGCGGTTTTTCCTTCTTCTTAAAACAAAAAAACAAACAAACAAAACAACTTTTTTACCAGGGCTGGTCCCCTGGTTGGTTGGTTGGTTGGTTGGTTGGTTGGTTGGTTGGTTGGTTGGTTGGTTGGTTGGTTGGTTTGTTGGTTGGTTGGTTGGTTGGCTGGCCGCATCCCCGGCATCACCAGCCTCACTTGGCACTGGGGCCGCCTATTGGCTCTGATTTCATGGCAGTTGGGAGTTGCTGGGGGCTGGTTTAAGTTGGGGGGGTTTTGGCTGGCTTAGATCTTCATGAGGGTGGGTCGTGGGGTGGTTTGGGGTTGGTTTAGGCAAAGCGAAGGGCTGACATTCAGGCAGTGGTGGGCATGTTTAGGGTTGACTTTGAGAGGGTTTGGGTTGGTTTGGAGCTGATTTGTGTTAGGTGGGCTGCTGGGTGTGGTGAAGGGAGTTGTGGTCTCGTTTAGGATCGGTTTTGGAGCGTTGCCCCCACCAAGCCTCGCTCACTCAACCACACCCTAAAGCAACCCTAAACCAGCAGCACACCCTAAACCAGTAACCCTAAGCAAGCAACCTCAACCAGATGCTCTTCGCCTGCCACAGGTCTTTATCTGACCTTGCGAAAGTGCCGCGCCTGCCAGGAAATCCGTACTTGACTTAGCGAAAGTGCTGCGCCTATCACACAAACTCGTGTCGCGAAAAGTGCAGGCGTCCGTGCCAATCCGAACCGGTTCCGAATCGTTCCGAACGCGCCGGAGGTGGCATGCGCTTCCTCACGAAACACGCACAGGGCGCTCACTTTGAGCACTTTCTATCTCAAAGCGCTGCACTTGTCACACAATCTGAAATCTTGTGACTTTTCTCTTTGCCCTCCTTTCCACTCTTACGTAATTTCAACCGGCAGCTGGCCTTCACTTCAGAAAGCTATTTGCATAGGACATATTTTCGCATAGGCCATCTGATCTTCTGAAAGCTATCGGCAGAGCTATTTTGTTGCATGCGCTTCCTGATCTTGTGAAGCCATCCATCTGCGCAATCTACCTTTCCAGAATCTTCAATAGACTGATTTGGTTGGCTGCGGTGTTCTTTTCGTATGTGCGCCGTGCACCTGCTGGTTAGGGAGCCACGCTTAGGTTCAGAACCTTTGCTGGCCCATGCTCTCGCAGTGCTGGGCACCCATGAGCATCCTGTGCCGCATTCCGCGAAGCCTGTGCACTGCAGCCTGTTAGTTGCGTTCCCTATACTACCTGTTGCTTGAGCGCCGATGAACAAGGTACTTACTATATCGAGGCACCACCTCAGTATGCGACTGTGAGCTCCACATTGCTCCGAAACAGATTGAAGTCGGGAGAGAGCATCAACGACATTGTTCCGGTTACTGAGCCAAAATTGCGTTGCAGCATGTACAACGAGAATGTGCCTTTTCCAGATCGCGCCGCCAAGGCTTCAGTTGCCGAGCGTGTGAGGATTGCCTATGCGGGAAAGTTGTGATGCGCGAGTTTCCAAAAAAAAAAAAGCAGTTTCAACCGTGCGCATGTCCATTCGGCAGCCACGGGTTGTCTAAGTACATGTGAAGGGCAAGCTGCTGTGGCTTGCGCATCAGTCCAGTTGCACGTGCCATTAGAGAGTCTTTCGAGGTGACTTCATCTCCAACAGGCACCACACGCACATGAACTCCACCATTTGGGTGCCCAGCTTGAAGTTTTAACACAAGCAGCTTTGACAGGGTCAGTTGAAAACGCCGTTCTGGCTTTCTTTTGCGGCGCATGGGCATTCGCAGGGACATGTGATGGAATGTCGTTGCATTGTAGTCAGCCCGTGCAACCCTATAGTGAATTTAAGTGCGGCTTTCATGATTATGTTTTTATTGGTTTCATTTGCATAAATTGGTATTCCTAGGTGACACTCAGTAACTTCGTCCAGTACCTGGGCAGAACGAACCAGTGCACGATCGACAAGACACCCAAAGGCAGCAGTGGCTTCGGAACAAGCAACTGGGGATTCACGTGCTCAGCGCGTGCAGGCTGGTACATCCAGTACGTGGACAACTCTCCAGAAGCGCGCATGAGGGCAGCCGCACAGAAGGCAGGTGAATGGCTAAAGTCTCTTCAAGCGTTTCAGCGCTTGCTGTAGTTGGTAGCTGCTGAGGCCGCGGAGGAGCTTGAAGTTTCATCTGAGCGGCGGCATGCAGTCCAGTTGCACATTGCTCAGACCTGTACATGTGTTGATTGGTGATTCGGACTTGGACTGGCTGTGTCCCACAAAGCCCGCCCCTGGCCATTGCTTTGAACTGTCGACCTTTGCGAGGTTTTTCAGCTTGCAAGTCTGGGTCCCGCATTTGCACGCAACTTTGCCTAAAATTCGCCATTGTTAAAATTAGGCGATGTCCCAGCAATCCGCGTCGTCAACTTTCCATCGCCATTCAAGCAACGACTCCTGGAAAGTCCTTGGACTGTTGGCTTCAGGAGCGGGATAGTGTTTTGTAAAGCAAGTTGACAAGATGTTGACAAGACATATTGGGACTGGCTTGGTATTTGATCTGAAAGCGTCCTGCAGCTTGGGTGGTCAGTGGTCACCGCCCGCCGGCTGCAGTGCAGCGCAACAACTTCCCCAACCGAGGCAAAGGGCAATCGAGGAGTGCAAGAAGGCCATGTGTTTGATGCGTGGGCAGTTTTCGAAGAGACCAGCCGCAGGAAAATCTGCAGCAAATCCTTGTTGTGGCAACCGTATTTGCCAATGTCCTGTGACGAACGACCGCCATAGGATGGCGGCTTCCAAGACTCCGAGTTCACAGAGTTGCAGCGGAAGGCCAGGAAAGCTCTCATGCTTTGAATGTTTATCAGGGCTTTTCATCTTTCCCATTCGTTGGTTTCAAACATCGCCCACTGGGCCAAGTTAAAGGAGCAGCGCAGAGAGCCCTGTTTATGCTGGCCATCATGTTTGCAGCTTCGGATTTCTGTCCGGGGTTGGGTTGGTCGTTGTCCACCGTCGCAAAGCAAAGCGCAAAGCGCGTGGCTTCAGCGCTGTTGCCTTTGAGGAGGGGGATGCTCCAATTGCATTCAATATGCCGTTGCGACCTTGGATCGGCGACGTTCAACTCATTGCGTTTGCTCTTTTCTGAATTTCTGTTTGCTCGTTAGTGCTCTTGCTCGGAAGCTGTCAGTGCGGGATCCTCTTCCGCTGCAAGCGCGCCTTCCAATGCAGCCAAAGCAGCTGTGGTTGCTGCCTGAGATGGAGCAAATCTTGCATGCTATCATTCCTGTCGCTTGGTTGGACCATGATGCCATGGCTTGTGCGGCCGGACGTCTTTTTGGTGACGAGGTGACTGAAAGCGAGAAGAAGCGCCATTCTCAGCTTTTCCCGCTGCTCGATTCGTTTAAAGCGCGCCACATTCCTGCGACCCAAGGAATGTTTTGGCTGAAGCATTTGAAGAGCATGAGTCGAAAAGTATTCAGGCAGATCTGCTTGTGGTGTGAGGTTTGTGGCCTATTGTGGTTTGTCCGCTGCCTTTTTGATGAGCTGCAACCACGCAGGAGGGAAACACACGGAAGCTGAGCGCCGTTGAGAAGATCAAGCTGGAGCACGAAGACGCAAAGAGGCAGAGTCAGGGTTTCCCCAAATCATCTCTGACGGTTTGGTTAAATCCATGCCGGTGGGAGCGATGATAGGGCTGACGTGCCTATATCGTGGTTTTGTGGCCGCGACGCTCCGCCTGGTTGCTGTTACTGTGTTGCCATGCATCCTGGCCGTGCTGTGCGGAAACGCGACGGTGACTTAGCTCGTGGGGAACTGGCTCCGGACGGGGACCACAATGACGATGGGCTGTTGTTTTGCGGCCCAGGAAGGTCGCGAGGACGACGGACTGACGGGGCAGACGCAGCTGCTGCGTGTCCGCGCTATACGGGAAATGCTCCGGAAAGGACGCTGCCTGGACTGCGCCGTGCAGAAATGGTTCCAAAGCGGGACGGCGATGACGGTGGGCATCTATAATAAGCTGAGCTCGCTTAAGTTTCCTTCTCTAGCGTGTTTGTGTCTTACGCATATGTGCGCACTCGCTTGCGCGAAAGCTGTTTTGGACGACCCTTGGCGGTTGGCCAAGCACTGTTACGCAGTTTCTTGCCAGGCGGAAGCTTCAGCAAGAAGCTCCTGAAGCACCTGAGTCGCCTTCTGAAAGTTCCTCCTCAGGCGCTCAATGCCGTTTTTGTCCTTTGCTGTTGCCGCGTGCTTCAGGCAATGAACCGTGGCTTTGCGAAGGAATCATCGTGAAGGCTCGCATTTGAAAGGGCTGAGGGCAGAAATGTGTGTGTGTGTGTGCGCGCGCGCATCTGGCAACTTACTGCAATCAACTGGGACTGGTTTTCGGCACATTCCCAAAGAAGAAGGGTGGTGACGGCATGCACGACCAGGAGAGCAGATCCCTTGCTTTTGGTTCAACCCTTGCCTGCAGGTTATGCATCAGGAGTTGGCAGGAGGAAAATACTACCGCAAGAAGGGCAAGGCGTGAGGGTGAAGAAGTGATAGAGTTTGAGTAAGTGTTGGCCCTAGGTTGAGCGCGTGCGTCAGCAATTTGCGGCTGAGATCAGGATGGCGGAGGGCAGGCTTGAACATGTTCAGACATTTCTCGGACAGTTTTAGTCAACGCAGAAGGAACAGGTTGTGGACGCAGAAACGCAGCCATTATCACATTCGGAGCAGCTGAACAGGGATCTCATCCGCTTGGACCAGGAAATGCTGGAGCCAGAGCCTCAGAGCCTTGTGTGTTTGCGTGCGCTCGACAAGCGAATCAGCCGCAGTCAGCTACGAATAAAGCAGTGGCTGTTGCTAAAGCGATCCCCGCCTGCCAAGGACGGTAATTCCGAATCTTGGCAAGCCGGTCATGGTGGACAGCACCTTAGACGGCCCTGTGACCTGCGAGTTTTAGTTGTTTTTTGCACTGGCAGCGAGGTGAAGGGACAGTACGCGGGCAAGAGGGCCCGAATGAGGCCTGCCCCATTGGACATGAGCCCGTCAGAATGGATGATGTCCGCAGTCCTATGGGCCATGAGCAGGGTTCATAATCACAGTTATTTGCCACGACGTGCATAGCGCAGGTCAGTAGACCTGGAGGCCTTTTGTGTGTCCATCGAGTTTGAGGACATGGGCATAGAGGTGCTGTGACACTTGCTCTCCCGCAATACATACGATGAGGTGTGGATGAGTTAGAAACCAGCATTTGCGAATTTATCAACCAAAACAATCTCTGAGTCAGCAACCAAAATGGCGCCCGCAACCAAACTGTAGCAAGTGGGTGTGCTTCAGGACAGCCGCGTGGTCGAGGGCTTGCGCTATGACCAGGCGTGGATCAACTCCTTCCAACACGGCACAGCTAGACATTAGCATGTCCTTCTTAAAGGCACAAGTTCTAATAGTTATAACATCTTAGTGGCTCGAAGAAGCTCTTGAGGCGCATCCACACCGTGCCATTTTTGGCGCAATTTTGGCCGGCAGGTGTGCAAGATCGACGAGTAGGCCATGTTGAGCACAGAGCCGTTTCACCTCGCCCGTCGCTAGAAAAATGAACCGCAACGCATTGCACAGAGAGACATGCCAGGTTGTGGTGTTGCTAGCCTTGGGTCTTGAGGCAGGCAGGCAAGTTTGCTCGATTCTGGGAATGCCAGAGGAGAAAGGTGCAAAGCAATGCCACGCGCCCGTGAATTCCTTTGCCCAGTTGCCCTTCGTTCGCCGGCGGAAAGGGCCTGAGCCAGCACTTGGTGGTCGGGTTGTCGGCCTTGTGTTATTGTCCATGAGTATTCCGAGACCATGCCGGCAGGCTGCTTTTTGGCAAGGATTCTGTTCAGAAGTTAATCGTTCCAACCACAGAGTGAGATGGCCAGATTGGCACTTCTCTTTCTCCCTTCGGTTGCAGAGGCAGCTCAACTTCAGAAGTTTCAAGCATACATTACATTATAGCGCTTCGTGTAGTGCATGTGCGCAGTGGGCTGCAGCTTCTTCCCGAGCAGCACATATTCCGTCAACAGCCGGTGTGCACCGCGCAATGGATTTGCAGTACTTGCGCGATCTCACCTTGCCCATGTGTTCCGCACATCCTGAAGGCGAGGTGCCTGCCCTTCAGACTGAGGAATGGGCTTCGCAGCAGGACAGCTTGCGTGCCAAGTTGCGAGACGCGGATGATGACGGATGGTCCCACGAGACGCTAAGCAAAATCGGGGGATTGGATATAAGTTTTGAGACTGGCACTAACCGAGCAACTGCAGTCCTTGTTGTTTGCCAGCTCTGTGACCGAACGCTAACACCAATTTATGAGGATGCAGTTGATGCGGACATGGATCTTCCTTACATCTCCGGTTTTCTCTTCGTCAGGGAGGTGCCAGCATATGAACTGCTGCTACGCCGCTTGCGTGCAAACGCCCCTCAATGCGAGCCGGATGTGTTCCTGATAGATGGTTCTGGCATGTTCCATCCACGTCAGTGTGGCTCAGCCTCTCACTTCGGCATAGTGCAAAACTTGCGGACCATTGGCGTGGCCAAGAAGCTTCTTTGCTTTGATGACTTTGACAAGGATGCCGGCCAACGGATTGAGGAGGATGTAGCCTTGCTGTGCCCGAAGCTGGGTGACAGTGTTCCACTGCTGGGCTCAAGCGGCCGCGTGTATGGTTTGGCTCTACGGACATCTCAAGCATCAAAGGGAGACTCAAGCTCACGTCGAGTTTATGTGTCTGTTGGCCACCGCTGCTCATTGGAGACGGCGAAGGAAATCATTTTAAAGTGCTGTGATGTGGTGGGTGGATCGTACATCCCACAGCCTATTCGTCTGGCTGACCTTACTGGACGTGCAATTGAGAGGGCATGGACGCAGATGCTTCCTTCAATGCAGGCTAGGAGGATGGTAATGGATGTGTCTAACCTTCTGGACAACAAGCAGCGGAAGACAGTTCTGTCCATGATCGAGGAAGTGCCGGAAATTGCAGAGGTAATGCTGGGAGACATCCCACCAAAAAGCCTCAAGAGGAAACAGACCACAATCGAGGAGTTATTTCTGCCGCTCCAGGTTACCTGAATGCATAAGTCCGCTGTTGGTTTGCCGTGTTGACTTTGGGCTTGAGCCGAGCTGAGGCAATGCACCCGGATGTGGCAGTGCAAGCGCTGAAGGCGGCAGCTCGGCGAGCAACTGGTAAGATTTGCGGCACGTGACTTTAAGGCACGGACGGCAACACTGCCTGGTAGAGGCAGACACTCATAAGGGGACAATGTGGTTGTGGGTGCTTTCGATGGTATCATTTTGGGTTGGGTCACAGGGAGGCCAAAAGGAACCACTATAAAATAGGGGGCCCCTCTATGAACATGTATGTCTCACCCAGGCGTTGAAGATGGAGAAGCCCTGGGCCCTGGGATTGCTGAAGGCGCCCCTTTGCCATCAACGGGGTGGCGAGGCTATGCGAACAGCCTGAGGCAGGCCACGTATGGCCACGTGTTTGCCTTGCCCGAGCGCGACGTGTTCCTTCGGGACCTCGAGCTTCATGCAGCATGTTCTGTGCCTGTGCCAACGGCGGCTCTTGCACTGTGAGATGGGAGCAGGCTGTTGTTCAACTATTTATGGTTTGCAACGGTTGCCCGAGTCGCTCACGTCTTCCACCTTCGTTGGCCGAGCCTCAGTTTGGACACCTGGCTCCATCAAGATGAACCATATTAGATTCTAGCCAGCCTGAACAGTGTACAGCTCTTTTAACTCTCCTTGCGCCCACTCGCGGGTGTAAGGCTGCCCTGCAATAGCACTCGTCGTTTGCTATGCCTGACAGTCAATGCTCTAGCTTGTACGTATGTGCTTCAGAATCTCATGCAGGTTGCAATGCCAAGGACAATAAGACAGTAGCCGTCCCGTACTCATCAACAGCTGCTTGATAATCTGATATGCGTGTGCTGGAAAGCTTGTGGGCTCGGTCCATGGGTCCTGTAGCGCGCTGTGGCTCAAGCTGAGGACAGCTCTTGGTCCCTTGAGCTGAGCTGTTTGAGCCCTTGCGCACCAGTCAATGAATGTAGTGCCCTTTGGCCTTGCCTTGTGCATCCTTGCAGTCGCGGACGGCTTTTACCTGCGACATGACTCCGGTGCTCGAACCGAGCTGTATCCACAACAGTTGACAACTTTGCTGGCAGCAACTCGCGCTTCTGTGAGACATAGGAGGCAGGCCAACATCATGGAGCTCTCTTCTTCGTCAACTACGCCATTTCTGAAGAGCATTGAAAGCACATTGCTCGCGATGGCCAAGAATGCCTCACAGGCGTCGCAGGACTTCATGAGCAGGGTCCAGGCAGATGTCATGGGCACCATCACTGAGGAGTTGAAGCCCCAAATTCTCGCAGAGCATGGTCTCATCCAATCGCAGGTGGCGCAGTTCACCGGCTTTTTCGAGAGATGCGAAATGCAGCGGGAAGCTGGACTCAACACCTCCACTCATTGGCAAGAGAGCATCCCTGGATTGATTGTGGATCACCGAACCTGCCGTATCCAGGAGGGAACCTTCATGCTAAAGCTGAAGATCTGCAGGGAGAAGTTGGAGTCTTTCAAGCATGTGGATGCCTCAACGTGTCAGCAAACTGCCCAGCTTCCAGACGCTGCCAGCTGTGCGTCCCTGAATGGTGAGACGGCGGAGGCATATCATCGTCGCATGTTGGCTCACTTTGAGACAGGCCTCCAGAACATAAAGACACAGAAGATGATTTGTGCAAACAATTCTCAGGCGCTCCAACTCCAAGAGGCGGCCTGTACTGGTCAAGAGCAGGAGCTGCAGCAAACCACGTCCAAATGCGTGACGAAGCAGAACACACTGGACTCTGCTGTATGCGACTTGGGAGGATCAATGAACACAACTTGTGCTGGGTATAGGGCTTGCAGATCCCAGGCCAATGACTCCTACAAGCTTGTGCGTCATACCGTGAAGTCAAGGGAGACGACTCTTCACGAGGAGTGGAGGGCCCTGCAACGAATCGAATGTATTCTGCATGCGCTGACAATGGCTGACATTGTTTCAGCTGCTCAAGATTGCGCTAACGCCGTGCACAGCAACTTTGCGAAACCAAGTGGCAGTTCGTCTTTGTTTTGACCTAGCCATCGAGTAATTAGCACTGATGTTGCGGCAGTTCTGAGGCGTCGCGCACCTGCTCGTCAACTACGTCACGGTTCCCTCGTTATCGGCCTGTGAAATCTTGGCAGAAGTGCCAGGGACACCGGAATATGCGGCAGCTGTTTTCAAAGGAATGCCAGCCGCTTGGCAAAGCAGCATGTTGCAGTGGTCACAGATGTGTTGGTTTGTGCGGCTGCACGTAGAGGCCAAGCAACTGAACGTGTGCACGTGCTCACTCGCCAGGCAGATGTGCCGCTTGCTGCTTGCAGTGCCGCGTGTTGCGTGTGAGCCTGGCCCAGCTCGGCTAGCTGAGCACGCCACAATCTTCGCAAAAAGACAGCGAGCAGCTGCCCACTGCTCACATCTCATGACTTGATATTGGCTTGAGGTACAGGGACTGCTTTGCTTGATTGCCTGCTTTGCCTGCCTGCCTACCTGGTGAGAGACTTAAACCTTGGGAGGTCTTGCGATGCATTGTGGCCGCGCTGCAGCCAGCGGTCAGCTATTCAGCGCACCGGGCGCGTGCCTTGGGGCCATGGCGGATGCAGACAAGGGCGATCGACTGCCGGCCGCAGAGCGCAAGCGCTTGAAGAAGGAGACGGGATGTAGTCTGTGAGTCTGTCAAGTGCCCGGCGCCCTTAGCCCCAGCCGTTTACACTGTTTACACACTGAATTTCAGCTGCCAGCTTGATGAAGCCAACAGGAGGCAGAAGCAAAGGCAAAGGCTGAGGAAAAGGCCAAGAAGAATGCGGAAAAGATAGAGCAGGCTGGAGTGCAACGATTGCCTGTCCCAGTCTTGTCCTTGGCAAATATGATCAGCATGTTGATTGCAGGTGAGGATTGCTAGGTAATTTCTAAGGTTCGGGTCGTAAGTGCTATTCCGAAAGGCTTGCAGTATTGAGCCATACCTCTCCAGAAGTGCACACTTTGGTCGCGCAGTGTAGGCAATATATTGGCTTTACGGCCAGCAACTAACGGTGGATTTCAACGTTGCGGCTGTTCAGGCGGCAATCCAGGATGCCATTTGTGTTACATTCATGTAATTACAAGGAAAACCCAACATTTTCGTGAGGGACCTTTTGATCATGCGCGGAATCGCTCTACTTGTTTTTCTCACCTTTTCTCTCAGGGAAAGCGAGGTTGATCATCCCCCACCCCACCCCCCACCCAAAGGAAACCAAGGCTGATCATCCCCCACCTCCCTGACACCCCCCGCCCCCCCCCCCAAAAGTCAAACGTGTTGGGTCGACTGGCCAGCCGTGCCCGAATTTGGGTTCACATCACTGGGTTGTAGAAGATAAACCACGGGCAATTGCTGGCCGTATTGCTCGGAATGGTTCCCATGTGTCCACTGCCTGCCTGCTTGCCTTGCCAAAGATGTCGGCGTTGCGCCTGCGCACAACGCACGTCGCTTTTTCGCGCGCACAGAACCAAGCAGCCTTATCCGTTCGCACCTGCAAGCCTTCTCCGTTCTGCGCAGCACAACACACGTCGCAGAATTCCATTCGCGCGACCTGGGGCGGCAGGCTCAAGCTTCTGGGAAGGCGCCAGCGAAAGAAGAGAACCTGGAGGAGCCGATGCGATTCGTCGTCGTGTTATGTTACATATGTTGCGCAGTTGGCTCATTGAGGACTTGGACCCCACCAAGTACAGAGAGAATCGCATGGCAGCGTTGAAGAAGCTGAGCGACCCATACCCACACAAGTGGGATGTGAATATTTCGATTCCTAGCCTCATTGAAAAGTACAAGGACATCGAGTCAGGCACACACCTGGAATCCGAGCTCCTTGCTTGCGTATGAGTTGTCTTGCTGAATCCAATCCAGTCGCCTTTCTTTGCACTGCACGTAAGGATTGTGTCCATAGCTGGACGCGTGAAGAACAAGAGAACCTCTGGCGCAAAGCTGATGTTCTACGACTTGTTTGCGGATGGAGTACGTGTGCAGGTCATGTGCCAGGCCCAGTACCACGAAGAGGGTGATTTTGCAGAGGAGCATGCCAAGAACCTCAAGCGGCAGTTGCTGTGTTGCCCTCCTATGCCGCTTCCAATCCCTTCCTCATTGATCACCCTATCCGAGTAGTACCTTTCCCTGCTCCGGACTCAGATTTACTAAAGGCCGCCCCAAGGCAAATCCAATTGAAGCTTGGAATGGCTAATTATTGTTTCGATGTGTTTTTCTCGCCCTTGTGCTTGCATAAAAGGAATCTGGGAGTTGCTAGAAAAGGGGTTACTTCTGAGTGCTTTGCACCAGCCACTCCCACTAACATGTCACCTGAGACATGTTTGCACAACTCATACGTTTTGCACGAGCCGGAGGCATTCTTTTCATTGTGACAAACATGGTGCAAGAGAGCGCAAGAAGGGGGCCCCGAAAGCAGTAGTGTTCAGTTGTTGAGCCCATCATGCAAATCCCAAAGGCCCGCTTATGCAAACATCAGAGAGAGAGAGAGAGAGAGAGAGAGAGAGAGAGAGAGACAGAGAGAGAGAGAGAGACGTGGGTGTGTAGCTTCTCAAATCTAAACTAGCAAACAGCTTTATCAGAAGGGAGAGCGCAGAGCGTGCCGGCCGTCGCGAATTTAGTACGGAATGTAGAGCATCCCCAATTAATCATTCGGGAGCGGTATCAATTGGTCATCATGATTTGCTAGGGGTACGAAACTACTGCGGCAAAACCTGATTTCTGGCACGGGCTGCGGGGCTTAGTGTGGGGGCCTACGTCCAAGGATTAATCGTGGTGATATTATGGGAGTCCGCGGCTTTGTCGGCAAGTCGAACAAGGGCGAGCTCTCAGTGTTCCCCAAGTCTGTCAAGCTCCTGGCCACCTGTTTGCACATGCTGCCGAAGGATCATCAGGGGCTCAAGGATCAGGAGGTGCGCTACCGGAGACGTTACCTGGACTTGATGCTAAACGAGGATGTCAGGCGCACGTTCTACATCAGATCCAAGATCGTGAACTTCATTCGCCATTTTCTGGACAGCCGGGGGTTCCTGGAAGTGGAAACCCCCATGATGAATATGATTGCGGGAGGCGCCACTGCCAAACCATTCATCACGCATCACAACGAGTTGAACCTGGACCTCTTCATGCGAGTGGCTCCGGAGCTCTATCTCAAGATGCTGGTCATTGGTGGCCTGGACCGCGTCTTTGAGATTGGGAGGAACTTCCGCAACGAGGGCATCGACTTGACCCACAATCCGGAGTTCACAGCTTGTGAGTTCTACATGGCATATGCGGATTACAACGACCTCATGGACATGACCGAAGAGCTCTTCAGCGCCATGGTCCTGAACATCAAAGGCAGCTACAAGATAGAATATCATCCCCTCGGCCCAGATGGCCCGCCAGTGGAGATCGATTTTACACCACCGTGGCGCCGAATTTCCATGGTCGAGGAGATCGAGAAGCAGAGCGGTGTGAAGTTGGGGCCGCTTGGACTTTGCTCGCAGGCTACACATGCAAGCCAAAACCAGCTAAATCTCCACTCAAGACTTAGCGCATTGCATAGCGGGGCGTTTGTTGTGTTAAGCCTTGGACCACTGGAAAACCTTCCCCAGCGATGCTAGGCAATGCACAGAAGAATGGCTTCCTTGATCACAACTAGGTCTAGTACCAAAGTCAAGCACCGAACACAATGGGTTCCGGCACCCGCTTCTGGTGCTCATCAAAATTCCAACTGTGAATCGACCATAACGCCGGAACATCATGCACATATTTCGGCGTTACTGCGAAACTATGAGCGCAAAAAGGTACACAACCTGGGATGCATCCGAAATGGGCCTGGGATAGATCACGGCCAATGAAAGCGTGGTGTCCAGTACCAAGCATGTTGGGCTTGGCCGAGCGTTTTGCCGAATCTGGCTAACAGAAGGCTTTCGATGCGTGTTAGAGTTGTAAATCGAAATTGTGTGCATCATAGGTCAGCAGTGCCAGGGGAATGAACAAGAAAAACTGCTGGCGAGCCACAAAGTGTGCGGGGCCTTGCATGATAACTTGCCCCGGGTGATATGAGGGCACGCTTCCTAAAATGAATGCAGGGGCAAGCCAACAAAAAGGCTACAAACTGCCAAAATGAGCAACGCACCGCAAAGACAGGAAGTACGCAGACGAGCATCCCTTAACCGCTGACGAGTCATATGCAGTGGGAGCAACGAGCAGGAACAGAGTCACAAATGGGAGCATGTGAACGTAGACGACAAGAAAACACATGCAACGCTACTGGGTTGGAAACTTGAGCTGCCCTTGGCTACAGACTTGTAAGCTGCTGAAGGAGGCGTTACCTGAAGTCATGAAGGGTCGCAATGTTGATGTCAGAATCCCACATGTATGTTTATTTGTACATATGTACGGACACACAACGTATGTGTTCACATACGTATATGCATGTACATACACATGTATACAAAACAATGCAGGCATTAACTCATGGCAGTGCCTATTACAGACACTAAACTTCTGCTGGACCCGATATGCCTAAGGCGAGATTTTGATGAGCCGGACACGCTGAAGAAGTTGGATGATTTGGCGCGTGTCTGAGTTGGGCATGGTATGCAGTCGGCAGGTGCATGCACTCAGGTGGCAAAGCTGGAGCTGGAGTGCCCCCCACCTCGTTCAGCGGCCCGGCTCCTTGACAAGCTCTGTGGCCACTACATCGAGGATCACATTGCTTCTTGGTGTGTCAACCACAAACATGGTGGTTTTCTTCTGATCTTCCTTTGAACCATGGGGAAAGGGCACCACGTCTGGGGCATTTTGAGCTGAGGTGAACCCCAGCTTCATCACCGAGCATCCTCAGATAATGAGCCCCCTGGCCAAGTGGCACAGAAGCAAGCCTGGCCTGACGGAGCGCTTCGAGCTTTTCGTCAACACCAAAGAGATTTGTAATGCATACACTGAGCTGAAACTTGGCCGTTGCAAGCTTCAGGATGTTCACCAGTCTGTTGTGCAATGCGAGTTTAGTGTATTCAAGTATTATCGTCAGTTTCTGCGAGTATGTGCCTGGGATTGTAGGCGAGATTGGAATCTGAGGAATGACCCGGAGAGGCAGATGCAGTGCTTCCTGGGCCAGGCAAAGGCAGCTCAGGATGGCGATGACGAAGCGCAAGGAGTGGACCACGAGTTTGTGACTGCCCTGGAGCATGGCTTGCCGCCGACGGGAGGCGAGTCAGAAACGTCGGAAAGGGTCACATGTCACCGAGAGAACCCAGTCAGCAGCTTGGTTGCTTTACGCTTTAAAGGACGGGCATGGTTGAATTGTAGTTTCATCTCCCTCAACTGCAATTGTCCGAGTCCATTGCACCATGGCATGTCAAACGTTTGCTGGCAGGCTGGGGTTGCGGCGTGGATCGCTTGACTATGTTCTTGTCGGACAAGCGACGCGGCTGCATTCCACATGCCATGCTACCCGCACAGCTCATACCTTAAGGAACAACATCAAGGAAGTGATCCTGTTCCCCGCTATGAAGCCTCAGTGAGAAAGTCTTAGTTACAGGGCCTCTTTTTGCCAGAGCAGCCAGTCTGCCATAAGTCTGAGAGTTCCGAATCTCATCAGCTGGCACCCATCAAGAAGGCCTGGTGGAAGTGAGAAAAGAACCGCTTGCTTGCTGCCCACTTTGGTTGACATCCCTTGGGCAATTGCAGCCATATGAAGATGTGCCCAATAGAACAACCCCAAAATGATTGGTTTCCTTTAAAACCGCCGCAAAAAGGGCACTAGCACCCTGAAAAGCAGACAGGTCCACTTGCCGCTTTCCCACCTCTTTGGGTGGTCACACTTGGCTTTGCTGCCATAGCTGGGCTTAAGCGCATAGCTGCGGCAATGATCCACTACGAGTACAGCAGCTGGGCTGAAGCGCTACTTGAAACGTGCCAAAGGTGAGGCGACATGGATTCGTTACTCTGCTATGCGCTGCTGTTGCGGCAACGGAGGTCGATCGGGATTTTGATGTAAACCCCTTGATTTTGCAGCAAGCCCTATTGAGCCCCAAGCCGTGACACCTGAAGCATTGGTCAGGGCAACAACACCAGCTGGCGACTATGAAACGTAAGATGGCGCTGCACATGCGCCGTGATACCATGCAGAATGCAGACCAAGTTTACGAAGTGCACTCAGGGTCAGGGACAGCACGAGCAAGTGATCGAAGTTGTTTGTCTGATTTATTCATCAAACTTAGAATGCCTTCTTCGCTTTTTCAATCTTCAACCACGAGGTGTGTACAATTGCGCCTTCCTCTTTCGCATTCGCGGGAGCGTGTTCCCGTTTGCCTTTCTGGTGGCTTTTCCATGCAGCTTGGCTTCACGAATGAGTCTGCACCCAGCACCCACGCGCTTGAGTGGTCTCAGGCACTCTTGCGGCCGCCCTTCTGTGCCTTGGCTCAACCCCCTTGCAGCACTCGCAAGCTTCGGAATACACGAGGGAAGGAACCTTTCAGGAAATTCTTTGACGTGAACGAGATTCTGGACCAGTCTGAGTGGGAGGTTCTTTCCGGGGATGGCTCGGCTGCTTGGAGTGGTTTCAACTTCTTGGCTCCTCGGATGCACCTGCGGAACGCCACGCATAGCTTCGGAGATGCGTTATCTAAGGTTGGCTTTGTCATTGTTTTCCGAACATCACAAGTGGCTTGTCACGCACATGGATGGTCACGCCATGGCAATACCTTGCATCCTTGACAGCTTGTCCAGAAAAGGGCCTGCATCCCGAACCATGCGTGGTCTGAAGGCATACACTCGATTCTGGTCTGCCCTCGGCGACACTCACCAGATGATGTCAGCATGGTTTGAGGCGGCAAGCAGCTTGATTGTTTTCACCAGGAGCAGGGTTGTGGGATCAAGGGGTTTATCCCCACTTCTGTGATACAGGGGAATCCCCGTTTCTATGATCAAATTAGTCTTTGGGAAGCCCTTTCTATTGTATCACAGAAGTGGTCATTCCCCACAGCCCTGACCAGGAGCATCAGTTTACGTAAACGGGCTCAGCAGGTGGCAGAAAGTGGCAGTTGGTTGAGGCTTGAGTTGCCCAGGCTTGAGGGAAGAGGCTGCCATCGGAAATGCAGTGCGGACAGGAGCTCATCTTCAGATCCTTTGCTTGTGGAGAACTGGTTGCACACAGCTGCTCGTCAGACTTCAGCCGCAGTGCTAGAAACTCTGAAGCACGGCACCCTTCTGGGCCAGGTTGCAGGCACCATGTCTCCCTGACTGAAGGGCATTCCGTGTGTGTCTGTGTCTGTGCATGTGTTTGTGGAAGGTTGTCCGCCTGTTCAGTTTGCTGAGCGCCTCAGCATTACAAGAGCTGACTGATGTGACATATCATCAAACCTGGGGGCTTCCCACCTTGGACGCGTCGGCCATCGATCCACAGAGCATCCAGACCCTCGACAAATCCGCCTGCCGCGTCGAGTTGCTCTACCACTGGATTCAGCAGTTCATTGCGGACGGTGCCCAGCACCAAGTCCTGGCCACCCCGCCCCCGCTTTTAACGCGTACGCTGTCTGAGCTGGCAAAGGGTATGGACAAATATCAAGATGCCATGAAGCACTCCAAGGTGGGCTTTCCCTTTCCATATGCGCAAACAACACTGACGCTACTGCTATTCCACTGGTTTCTAACTCCGCTGGTGACTGTTAAGTGGACCAGCTCGATTTTTGGAGCTGCAATCTTTACATTTGTGCAGGTTTTTACGCTGTGGTGCTTGAATGCCACAGCAGTTGGCTTTGAACGACCGTTTGGTGGTGATTTGAACGATATTGATGGCACCGAGATGCAGATGGCTATGAACAAGAGCCTCATTAATTTGATGGAGCCACGGTCTCGCCGAACGCCATTCATTCCATTGTCGACGTTTCTGGACGTGGACGTGTTGCGAAAAAGAGACACGATTCACACAGCCGCGCTTCAACAGGAAGGTTGGGAATTGAAGGACTTATCTGGTACCTCGGGGAAAGGTTTGCTGCGATGCCTGTGTCCTTGTGTCCGAAGGGAGCGCCAAGTACAACGCACCACCATCGCAGTGTCCACTCGATACAGCAGCAAGCGCTATTGTGAAATCGACGGTGAGCGGACGGCGGTGCTGATCATTGGGATTGTCGGCTCGGAGCTGTGCTTGGCCTTGCCAGCGCCCAAAGATAGCCGGAACGCATTTGAGGTGCTCAATGTCAAAGGTCAGCCTTGCAGCATGCGTACCAAGCGCATCCCAATTCAAGAAAGACACCTCCTTTTCAAGGCGCCAGACCCTTCATGGAGCCCAGCCTGAGGTTGTTGGATCAGCGGTGTGCAAATGGCATGTGCGACAGGTTGGCAGGTTGCCGCTTGTTTGCGTGCTGCTTGACCAAGCCTGATTTTGCGTTGCCAAGGACGGACTTTGAGGATTTTCCTCTTGATTACAGCTTTGCAGCCGAAGCTCTGGCCAAAGCAGCAGAGACGCAGAAGGGAGCTATCGCTAAAGTACGGCCTGAAGGGCCAGCACAAGCGGATCCCAAGGCCTGCGTGCGTCAGCATCGCCAAGTTAGATGCTCTCCATTAAGTGATTAGCGGAGGGCGAGCTTTTGCCAGGAGATGAAGCGCGGAATTTCTCAGCAGTTGGCTTCTGACGCGTCCCCAAGGGAGCAGCCAGCCGAGACGCCTGCCGTCCTCTGACTTAACTGTGGCACAAGAAACGCCTGGAATGGGCGTGCTTGTTGCCTAGCAACGGTTTTGACCTAGGCCAAAGCTGAAGGGCAGAAGATGTCTTCGTTGCCAGGGGCTGTGCAGGAGTGCATGCGCAACGCGTGAGACATCTAACACGCTGCCTGCAGGAGCTGGATGACGTCAAGATTGTTTGTGGAGAGACGCCCCGCGCCCTTCCAGCCACCTTGACGCAACCGATCGATTTTGGCACTACGCGCCAGAGCTGCATTCTAAGTACTCAGCTGTTGGGACGCACTCAGGCTGAAAAAGGCCGCGAAGAGGTTGGTGGTGAAGGTGTTGGCCTATCACCGCGGAAAGGTGCCTCTTCAGTTATTCAGTGTGTGTGCGGTGGTGTAAATCCAGCCATGAGGGTGGCCATGCCAGTAAGGTGCTGCATGGCAAATTATGTAATTATTGAGGTGTTATGAGTCAAGTAACCCCCGATGTACCAGTGTGTGTCTTTGTATGGTGTGATCCCCATGTGTCTTGGACCAATCAAATTCGCTGCATGGGAATTCGAAGATGAGGAGTGCGCCAAGACCAGCCGCACAAGTCAAACATGGGCTGGCGCACAGAAGATAGGCAGCTTCCGTGTTCAGTGGGAAGCTACTCTTTGCCCAAGTTCCTCCAGGTGCTGCCCCCACGGTGCTTCCTTGGGGCGCTCCCCTTTGCAGACACCCGTAGCTGCGCGCGCGCGTATGGCCCATCTGAGAGGCTCGCTGTTCTGCATGGATGCTGGGGTAACGACCCTATGAAGAGGTTCGCTCGACACGGCAATGAACGCATATTGGAACGATCGGTATTGGGATGATGCGTTTGATATCGGGGCGCTTTTCGGTTCACGGCTTGATAGGATGAGACACCAATGACATTGGAAACTGGAGGGGGGGAGAACCCAGGCGCTGCCCAAGATGGCAAGGATGTCAAGGAAGCTGACGCGTCCCGGCCAGAGGACCGGTCATGGGGTCAAGAGGCAAGAGCTCTCAGTCACAGATGGTGGATTGCATGTGTTTTGCAATTTCTTGCCACCCATGCCATTGGCAGAGCTTGACAGCCAGTTTCGTGCTCCTGTGACAAAGTTTTGTCCCTCAACTCGGTATCCTCGAGGCAGGGTACTGATTGGATGAACTTAGAGGTGAGTGTGGTAGCGCCACGGGTGTTGAAAGGCATGCTGGGGTTTGTGCTACGTTTGGCCACGGTGAATTATGCGGAAATTCTAGAGTGCGGCGGTCAACGTGGTTACCCCATTAAACTCGTGAGGCTCGCTTCAACACTTTGGACTAATTAAACGGCTCCTCCTCGAAATTTGCGTGTGTGCATTTTGCCTTCACCTATTCAAATCCGCCAAAGTCTGCGAACCAAGCTTGCTCCAGCCAGCATGCGTTTGATTCTGGCAAGTTGCTTTCACGTTCTTTCATGAAGCATTCACGGCTAGTCCTTCAAACTTCAGCACTTTCACAGCAAGCTTGTGTGTGCCACGGCCGGCTCACACTGGCTTTTGCCAGGGCTTACTGCACTCCCCAATAAATCATGCTCAATGCCTCTCTAGCTATCTCTAGCTCAATTGTTTAGACTATTGGTATGACAGCATCATTAAACCATGGCTGAAGTAAGCTGTATCGGATGTGCATCGGTCCCAAGCAACTAGAGACATATTATGTCGTAGTTGCGTCTAAAATGACTGCTAAGGTCTGCTCATGCTAGTGGGTCCTTTGTCATTTCTCTAACGCAACGTTCATCAAGACTATCCTCCCTCCCAGGTTGAAATTGTAGTTTGCAACGTGATGTATTTATCAACCATAACAACCCCAATTGCATGAGTGTCTCACTAGCGTAGCTCCGACTCACCGGCTACGCATGGCTCAAGAAAAGCGCGCTTTGGGCAGGGTTTAATGTTGACCCTTCCTGGTTGTTTAACCTGTTCTATAGGTTATCAGCCGTAAGCGGCTCTTTGTACAGAGTTGTACGCCATGTGGCGATCCGGGACTACCTCCTACCGAGGTGCGTCCCACACCTGATGAGCATGCGGGCGATGAGGACGCCTCGCAATATGAACCGACTAGTCGCGCGAATTCCCAAGTGGCCAGAGAGCTCATCAGGAAGGGACAAGCTTTGAGCAGTCAGGGCCCCGAATCGCTTCGATCTCGGAGCGACCGTGGGAGAACTGGGCGGTCTGGTGCTCGATCACCTGGTGGATCAGATCGGCATCAGCATGGTGACATCGTCATGTATGACCCTCAGGCCGACCTCGCAAAGGGGAAACCCTATGCCACAGTCCATGACACAATATAATCAACATGTTGCGAACGTTCACCTCAATCCTTCGATGACGGTCAACCAGGAGGTGACGAACTATCAGCAAAGAATCAGGACACCGGTCCCATGGTCGCCCAATTGGCGGAGGCAAGACACGGCGAGATCATTGCCGGACTTCAAAGCCAATCGGGGGCCATGAGACGCGAGATCCAAAAGAATGCGGAGCAGCGTGCAAACACTATGAAATCAGAAAGAGAAGCCGAGGTGAAATATCGCAGCGCCATGAACACGATCAGCGAGCAGGAGAAGCAGATCAGGGAGCTGAGGGCAATGGTGGAGCAGATGATGCAGAATCAACAACAACAGCCTGCTCGACCTGCTCAACCTGCTCCGGCTGCTGCGCCTCCTGTTCAGCAAGCGCCAGCGACTCCATTGGCCATACCTCCAATTCCTTTGGCCGCATCTCCACCCGGACTTTCGAATGCTTCCTCACACAGTTGGACGAAGGTCGGGAGCGACCCCTACGGCAAAGACGGATCCGTTCCCGCCGGGGCCGTGGCTGATGCTGCTACCGGAGACGGTTGGCCTGGTGATGATGGAGATGGTGGAGATCATCTTCTCCTTCGTCATCCTCATCATCGACGTCTACAGCGTCTGATGAGTCGTTTCGGCGAAAGCTACTGAAGCACTTAGGGAATTCAAGCGATCCGACAACGGAACGCGTTCGTGTAAAGGAGGGTGACCGAATTCAGATTCCCAGTTTCCCGAAGCCCGAACAGTACCGTAATTGGAGGATCAAAGTTAGGGATGCTGTTGGTGCTACTTCTTCTGATCAACCCGAAAAGGCATTTGAGTGGATTGAGGCAACTTGGATCCCTGGTCAGACCGTTGAAGTCCTTCGTGATTCAGGCATGTTTGTTCATCTTGACGCAAAGCTGGCATCGGCGTTGACGAACATCTTGGAGGGCGACCTGGCGCGGCAAGTCGACATTTTCAAAGAACAAGAAGCAAAGGAGAAACGATACGCGAGGGGCCGCCAGATTCGTTTGATGATTCACAAGCACTTCAGCACGAACATCAAACATGGTGCTATTTACGATTTCGAGGATTTGCTTTCTGTCCAGCTCATCAACGAGGACCTCAAGAATTTCATGACGAGATGGGACACGGTCATCGCTGGAATGGGCAATGAGCAGAACGAGAAGACCCTTGAGGCGCTGTTCCACCGCCAGGCCCGGAAGTTTCGTCCTCTCAACCACGATCTCAATGAGTACGAGCGGGCTGAGGAAGGGACGGAAAAGCACTCCTATAAATTCTTGATTGATGCATCGAGGAATTATTTGGAGCGGAAGCGGCTTGTTCACATGCGGGATGCTATGTCGAGCAACACTACGGGACGTGGCCGGACTCCATCGAACAATCCTGCTGTTCCTGGAATCCCTAAGGGTGTATGTGTGAAGTTCCAAACTGGCCACTGCACCTATGGTTCAGACTGCCGATTCGAACATGTGAAGGCACCGAAAGGTAAGGGGAAAGGCAAGAAGGGCGGATCAAGGTCTCAGACCCCAAGGAAGTATCGTTCGCAAAGTCCCCCTGGATCGAAGCCCACGTATGCAAGTTCTTCAAAGCGAACAGATGCGAGAGAGGAAAGGACTGCCCACGGCAGCGCCCCGCAACTTCCAAGGCAGCTCCAGCCCCAAAGGCTGACAAAACCACTAGTGGAGACACCCCGAAGACATCGCCGAGATAAAAGAAAAGGAAGAAGAATAGCAGGCCTTCTTCCCAGGAGTCGAAAGACTCGAAGGGTTCTCAGTCCCTCAAGTCTCCGCGATCGTCAAAGGGCAGCAATGTGGCGGTCTGCCTCCTTCAGGCGATGGTGTGCGCCGACGACCTTCGACCCGGTCGCCTCGTATCCTTGCCTGCCTAGTGTGAATTATGATGTTTTTCAGGGTGTGCCATGTATCAAGAAGTGTGTGCAATTTACGGATTACCCATCCATTTCAAACTATGAGACTGACGGTGAGCTTTGGCCCTACACTGCCTCGTCAAGAAGATGTCAAGAAGGTTTGCGCAAGAGTTTCCGGTGAACTATGTTCCGAAGTTTTGACGGGAGAGCTGTTTCAGATGCAACTCTTGTCGCTGCCATGCATGAAGCAATGGTGAAAGATATACTCAAGGGCACAAAGACTTCATGTAAGTTTCAATGCGACTTTGATTTCGGCTGTGATTCCTGCATCCCCGCAGGCCTAACGGCCGAGCCTGAGAAGCCTGAAGTTTCCCCTCAAAAGGGAAATGCTGCTGTTGCTTATTTACCAAAGGATTCTTCACACATTCCATGGATCGCGGACACGGGTGCTGCTCAGGATTTGCTGTCGAGAACGGATGCGCAGAATGGGAGCATTTACGAATCATCTCAACCGCCGAAGTTTTCCACTGCCAATGCAAATATTTTCGGTACTGAGCAAGCCAACGTCAAGATCAAACAGACCGATAGCATTGTTCGGCCATATGCTCTTGATAAGACTCCAGCCGTGTTATCCGTGGGTATGAGATGCCTCAAAGACGGATATGATTTCGTTTGGAGAGCACACAGCAGACCTTATTTCAGATTGCCGGATGGCCCAAGATGCTGTTCCAGCCTTGTTGCAGAACATTCCAAAGGTCACAACCTTGCCATCAGCTCCTATCAGAATTGAAGATGAGGTTTTAGTCATTCACGAAGAACCAGAAGCTGTGGAGGAAGTATTTGTGACTAATGAGGATGACGGGGATGAGTTGGGAAACGACGATTTCTTGCTTGAAGATGCTATCAGCCAACCGGAAGGTGAGGTCATTGAAAAGAGCCCTGACATTCCTTCTGAAGATGCGCCTGAGGTCATCGCTTCCGAATTCGTGTCTAAGCCCGCTGTGAAGGATGCTCCTCGCGAACGCGGTGAAGCTGCTCTGCGTGATGAGGCGACCTCGCTCCAGCAGTTGATGTGCCACACTCCCAAGAACCCCTTTTGCGAGACTTGTAACAGGGCGAAGATGTACAAATATCCATCAAGACAAAAGGGAGGTTCCACACAAGTCGAGGCTAAGAAGTTTGGTGATCCCATCTCAGAACTTCAGATGATCGTGAGATCGGCATTGATCAATCCAGGGTTGCACTTGTTGTTCGAGACGTTGCCACTGATTTTCGTTATGTTTATCCAGCAGCACGGAAAACCTCTCATCAATGCGTAATGGCCTTCAAACACTTTGTCCGTACCGGGGAAACCGTGAACATATTTTACAGTGATCGGGCTCCTGAACTTGTGAAAGCTGCGGATCAATTGGAATGGAGGCATGTTCAGAGTACCCAAAACAAATGCCATTGCTGAGAGGAACGTCAGGGCAATTCTCGAGGGCGCAAGGACCAACAATGAACAAGCTGGTTTGCACCATTCATATTGGCCACATGCGGCCAAACACTATTGCATGGCGCACAACATCACGGATCACCCAGATTATTATTCACCTTGGAAGTTTCGTTTTGGCAAAGATTTTCCCGGACCATATTTGCCTTTTGGTTGTCAAGTCAACTTTTGGACTGGCCCGAAGAATCGACCCAACAAGCGACCATATTTGCCTTTTGGTTGTCAAGTCAACTTTTGGACTGGCCCGAAGAATCGACCCAACAAGCCTTTGAAATGTGAGCCTACCTCCAGGGCTGGA